TTCTATAAATAGAAACATTACGCAATTCTATAAATGGAAACATTACACAATTCTATAAATAGAAAAACTGTTGTTGTTGTTGCTGATGATGATGATGATGATAGATCTGTTCTGTTATATGAAGTTGATCCCTTCAATAATAGCAAAGTTACAGTCAGTTACCGCCAAAACAATGAAAATTTCAATAATTTGACCTTCAAAGACAATGTCATTAATGAGTGAAGGTCAAGGTCTTTCGGTATATTTTTAACAGTTATCTTTGAAGATTATTATGTTCAAGTTTCAAGACAATCCATTCAAAAATAACAAAGTTACAGCCAATAATAGCCAAACAAATGAATATTTCAATAATTTGACCTTCAAAGTCAAGGTCATTTATGAGTGAAGGTCAAGGTCTGTCTAGTTATTTTTAAGGGATATCCCTGAAGATAATTATGTTCAAGTTTGAAGACAATCCATTCAAAAATAACAAAGTTACAGCCAATAACAGCATGAACAAGCAAAAATTGGACTTTTAACCTTGAAGGTCAAGGTCATTTATAGATGAAGGTCAAGGTTAGTGTGGTCTACTGAAAGGTCTTGTCCCAAGGGTTGTTGTGGCCAAGTATGAAGACAATACACGAAGAAATAAAAAAGTTATGATCCAGGTACAAGTTTGCGGATGGCAACAGCGACTATAACAATACCTCTACTTTAAAAAAAAAAAAAAAAAAAGTCGAGCTAAAAATAACAAAGGGCAATAACTGAAAAATCATGCAGGGTAGAGTTGTCATTCTTGTGTGCTGCACTCCTCCTCAATGAGACCTATCCACCTATGAAGTTTCATGTTGATATCTCAAATGCTTTTATAGTTATGCTCTGGACAAAAATAAAGCATGAAAAATAACAAAGGGCAATAACTGAAAAATTATGCAGGGTAGAGTTATCATTCTTGTGTGCTGCACTCCTCCTCAAAGAGATCTATCCACCTATGAAGTTACAAGAGCCATGTCAACATGGCCATCCCCCGCCGAATGTGTTTGCTCATTGGAAGAATGTATATGTAGTAGAGTGGAATAATTCCATTTTAAGAGGTATTTTGTAATGAAAACTGATGGCTATAGTGATTACAGATTTGAAACCTATGTGAATACTGATGGCTGATAATAACAAAGGGCAATTACTGAAAAATAATGCAGGTTATCATTCTTGTGTGCTGCATCCCTCCTCAGTAAAATCTATCCACCTATGAAGTTTCAAGTTGATACCTCAAATACTTTTTGAGAAAAAAATTGAATTGAAAAATTAAGTATGAAAAAGAACAAAGGGCAATAACACAACAATTATAAAAGGTAGAGTTATCATTCTTGTGCACTGCACACCTCCTGAGTGAGATCTATGCACCTATGAAGTTTCATTTTGATATCGCAAAGGCTTTTTGAGTTATGCTCTGGACAAAAATTAATTTTGAAAAATAACAAAGGGCAATAACTCAAAAATAATGCAGGGTAGAGTTATCATTCTTAAGCACTGCACTCCTCCTCAATGAGATCCATCCATCTTTGAAGTTTCAAGTTGATACCTCAAATACTTTTTCAGATAAGCTCTGGACAAAATAGCATGAAAAAAAACAAAGGGCAATAACTCAAAAATTGTATAGGGAAGAGTTATCATTCTTGCGCACAACATTCCTCCTCAATAAGATCTATCCACCTATGACATTTCATGTTGATATCTCGAACACTTTTTGAGTTATGCTCAACTCAGGTGAAAAATTAGGTATGAAAAATAACAAAGGGCAATAACTCAAAAATTATGAAAGGTATAGTTATCATTCTTGTGCACTGCACTCCTCCTCAATGAGATCTATCCACCTATGAAGTTTCAAGTTGATACCTCAAATACTTTTTGAGATAAAGTCTGGACAAAATAGAATGAAAAATAACAAAGGGCAATATCTCAAAAATTATGCAGGGTAGTTATCATTCTTGTGCACTGCACTCCTCCTCAATGAGATCCATCCACCTATGAAGTTTCAAGTTGATACCTCAAATACTTTTTCAGATAAGCTCTGGACAAAATAGCATGAAAAAAAACAAAGGGCAATAACTCAAAAATTTTATAGGGAAGAGTTATCATTCTTGCGCACAACATTCCTCCTCAATAAGATCTATCCACCTATGACATTTCATGTTGATATCTCAAACACTTTTTGAGTTAAGCTCCACTCAGGTGAAAAATTAGGTATGAAAAATAACAAAGGGCAATAACTCAAAAATTATGAAAGGTACAGTTATCATTCTTGTGCACTGCACACCTCCTGAGTGAGATCTATGCACCTATGAAGTTTCATGTTAATATCTCATAGGCTTTTGGAGTTATGCTCTGGACAAAAATCAATTTTGAAAAATAACAAAGGGCAATAACTCAAAAATCATGCAAGGTAGAGTTATCATTCTTGTGCACTGCACTCCTCCTCAATGAGGTCTATCCACCTATGAAGTTTCAAGTTGATAACTCAAATACTTTTAGAGATATGCTCCAGACAAAAATGTCGGACGGAAGGACGGACGGACGGACGGACGGAAGGAAGGTCGGACGGACGGAGACTATTTCTATATCCTCCGCCGAAATTTTTCGGCGGGGGATAACAAGTTGATACCTCTAAAACTTTTTGAGATAAGCTACGGACAAAAAGTATGAAAAATAACAAAGGGCAGTAACTCAAAAATTATAATGGGAAGAGTTATTGTTCTTGTGCACAGCATTCCTCCTCAATAAGATCTATCCACCTATAAAGTTTCATGTTGACATCTCAAAGACTCTTTGAGTTATGCTCCACTCAGGTGAAAAATTAAGTATGAAAAATAACAAAGGGCAATAACTCAAAAATTATGAAAGGTAGAGTTATCATTCTTGTGCACTGCACACCTCCTGAGTGAGATCTATCCATGTATGAAGTTTCATGTTGATATCTCATAAGCATTTTGAGTTATACTCTGGACAAAAATTAAGTTTGAAAAATAACAAAGGGCAATAAATGAAAAATTATGCAGGTTCTTATGCACTGCTATCCTCCTCAATATGATCTATCCACCTATGAAGTTTCAAGTTGATAACTCCAACACTTTTTAAGATATGCTCTGGACAAAAAGTATGAAAAATATCAAAGGGCAATAACTCAAAAATAATAATGGGAAGAGTTATCTTTCTTGTGCTCAGCATTCCTCCTTAATAAGATCTATCCACCTATGCAGTTTCATGTTGGCATCTCAAAGACTCTTTGAGTTATGCGTCACTCAGGTGAAAAATTAAGTATGAAAAATAACAAAGGGCAATAACTCAAAAATTATGAAAGGTAGAGTTATCATTCTTGTGCACTGCACACCTCCTGAGTGAAATTTATCCACCTATGAAGTTTAATGTTAATATCTCATAAGCTTTTTGAGTTATGCTCTGGACAAAAATTAAGTTTGAAAAATAACAAAGGGCAATAACTCAAAAATTATGCAGGGTAGAATTATCATTCTTGTGCACTGCACTCTTCCTCAATGAGATCTATCCACCTATGAAGTTTCAAGTTGATACCTCAAATACTTTTTGAGATATGCTCCGGACAAAAATTTTGGACGGAAGGACGGAGACTATTTCTATATCCCCCACCGCTTTTCGGCGAGGGATAGTAAGCACGACTTCTACCTGCGGTCTGTATTCTAGGCCTTTACAAGGAAAGGTCAAACTTGAGTTGCTCAACATGACGATTTTATTCATAAATGTTGTTTTGCCAAAATATTAATAAAATCCGTTCATTAATAACAAAATAAGCAAAGTTCAACAATTTGACCTTACATGTTAAGGTCATTTTAAAGTCAATGTCAAACCCAAGTTGCTCAACATGATAGTTTTATGCTCAGTGTTTTTTTGTTCAATCAAATCCATCAATAGGCCTGTATAACACAATTATGGCCAATTTAAGCAAAATTCAATAATTTTACTTTCAAGGTCAAGGTCAGTTAGACCTACTTATAGGTATCATTAAAACGTTTGTTTAAGTATGAATACAATACATGCATCAATAACAAAGTGATAGCAAATTATAACCAATTTCAACAAAATATAAGTTTTTAACCCTTTGAAGGCCAGGAAATTTAAATGTGTAAAGGGGTTAAAAATACCTTACAAAAAAATATAACAACTTTTTCCCTGCAAGTGAAATAAAAAACTGTTTAAAAACTAAACAAGAAACAGCTAGCCTCAAACCAGTTAACACTATAACACTATTAGGCTATCACAACTATTGTTGTGCAGGGGTGTAATAAATAGTGTACAGCGGAAAAAGATTTAAATGTGATAAAAGGTTGGGCGACTTAAGACCTGTGCAAATAGGGAAAAACACTAATTTAGCTACTTTTTAAGGCCTATTTAGTTCTCAAATTCTTGGGACTTCAAAAAGAAGAGTACATGTAGTGTAAATTGCAAAACAACTTTTCATTTATTTTCTTCGAAGATATATTCAGTTTTATTTTTCATCAATCTTATTTGCATTTTCTCAATTGACAATCATAATTGCAGAACTAAATTAGCCCTTAAACCACCTGATTGAATTCTAAATAAACTTTGTATGCGGTTTAATCTTTGGAACTATCCTTGATCAATTCCAGAAAAATTTAAAGTGTAGCCCAGTTCAATAGGTTAATAGAGCCTGAATGGATGTGCAGGCTGGGCCCCCTGGAAAACTATACAGTGGCAAAGGGTCTGATTACTTTTCCTGTTCCAGCAGGGTAGGGGGCAATACAGGGGCCCAACGGGAAAAATTTTAAAGATTTAAAATTTCCCTTTCCCAAATTTCTAAACCATACCTTGTAAAAGGGTTTTATTTGCATAACAAGCTAAAAGTTGGTTAAGATATACATGTATGGTAAAAATTTTTTTACCTCAACCCTGAAACCCAAACAAAAAAAATCAATATTTGAAGTTACAACAAATAATAATTTTTTATTTAATTTTTTTGAAGGGGGAAAAAAACCCAATTCATTATAATCTTATAATAGCCTCATATTCTTACAACAAGAAGCCAAAATGGGCTATATTGCTCATCTGAGTAAATGGAAAAAAGTGATCTAAACATTTCCAAGCGTCCCACAAACTGTAATTTATGTAAATTGGTAGAAACCCACTTTTCTTCATTTTAGCATTAAAAGACTTGTAATTTCAAAAAGCTTCTTTCTATACAATAAAGTAAATGTAACTTTTTAAGTGATTCCATGGGTGTTTGGCAACTTTTTTACCCAAAGCCCATGATTTATATAACTTTTGTTAAGGCAAATTATAGTAAGATACATACATAACTGTTTTAGCTTTTATAAGAGAAGATTTAAAAAACTTTTTCTTAAATAGGTCTTATACAGACGAACAAGAACATCAGGCCGTAACACATGTTTACTTCAAACACGCAAAGAAGCTTTGGAGTAAACAACTTAAAAACTGTCCTTTAAGGAATTATAAATTCTTTCCTTAAGGAATTATTAATTCTTTCCTAGTGTCCAGGGACGTTCTTCCATTCGTTGTCTTGTTAACGATGACATGGCCTTTTTCGGAGGAACTAGTGATTGTGCCAACCCTACACGTTGTTTTCTCTTGTCACCAACATTAAACTTATCATCGTCCTCCACATCAGCAGTACTCATGTACCTTTGCTGCTGTACATACTGAACACGCTGCTGATGTGTCGAAACATGTTTTGGTCCCCCATGTAATGTATCTACAGTTCCCATAAACCCTTGCTGCTGTTTAGGTGGCGGTGGCAAACGAAGACCTTTTGGAATACTTGATTGTTCTGTTTGACCTGATGAAATATCAGCACCATCTTGCACACTGTCCTCTTGTTTATATCTCAAAGACAAATTTGCATCTAGATCATGTGAAAACTTGCAGTTTTTACCAAAGCGACACCGGCCTTGTTTAAATGCTTTACAAATTTTTGCTTTCTTTCCGGTTGCTAGTTGAGCTTCAGTCATCTTTACGTGTTTTTCTAGGATGGACTGTTTCACCATTTCTGCAGTTTCGAATGGATTTGCAAAGACAGAACCACGTCCTTCTGTAGATTTGTGGATAGGTAACTTTGTATCAGTTCCAAGGTCTGGTGTTGGAAGTTTTTCCATCAGAGGGTTTGGCAACTTCTCTCTTTTCACTTCAGATGAGCTTCCCTCTTCTTCCTCATCTTCTGAACTGTCTGTTTCGCTATTGGCAATGAGGTAATTCTGCGGAGGTTGTACATCTTCAGACTGCCTGAAAAATACATGGTCAACAGCTTAATGATCGTTAAACTTTTCACAGAGAAATGTTAAGACATACTAATTATACAGGGATACTAACATAAATCAAGGTTTTAAATGCAATCAAAGTCATGCTTTCATGAATTTTGAGCAAATTGTATTTTTACAAAGTATTATAATCATTTAACAAGAGTACTGTGTGTGTTGTTAAGGGCAACAAACCAAAAATTAAATGCTATTACATATATCACTTTTCAAAAAGATTATAAAGTTATTTATACAAGATTATTTTTAATGTGAAAACTGGAAATACTCTAGAAATACTGATCACTTATGTCGCTAAAAAGGGGCATAACTCCTAAAAAACAGCTTTAAGGATAATTTCCACTGTCTTAAAACTGTGTCTTGTTATGATAAACAACCTTATAAAGTGCTTGAGTAAAGTTTTTGCACATTAACCCCTATGTTAATGAACAAGGATATTAATGAACGACAAAAGATATCACAAGATAATGTCTTCAAAAAGTTTAACTATCACCTTTATTTTTCTTGAAAATAATTAAACAATTAAACACATTACTTAATTTAATTAGTTCATAATTTCTGTAAACAATCATTACTAGTTCTTATTAGAACAGCTAATGTTCTTTCACTAATCTTTTACTTTATAATATCATTCTCTTCATCCTTTCTTTTCTAACTTAAACACAGTAAAGGCTATTTTTTGCATAATTAGAACTTCTTTTAGTAATTTATTGGATTCTAATTAGTTACCGTTTGAGATGGCTAAAATGCTTTCTTTTACTTTGAAATACATTTTCAAAATTTTCATGAAAATTAGTATGCTATAATTAGTGCAATTTATAATTTATCGGCAAAAGCCAATTAATGACTTCAGTAACTTTCTTACTATGGTTCTTTTGTTCACTATATGCAATTAGTAAAGATTCATTTTATTGTAAAATAGCAAATGACTGATGAGTTTGGAAATCTATTTTCAGTGTTTTTGGAAATCTATTTTAGGGCAGAATCATCCATCATTGGGGACCCAACAAACAGAAATATTTTGACATTTTGTGGCAGGGTGAGAAAAACTGTACCATGACCAGAACTCAAACCCTGGACCCTCTGTATACAGTTCTATGACTTTACCACTATGCTATCTGGCTCTTAAGACGTCTTATCCTCTAAATAGTGAACAGTTCTAAACCGGGTCATGTTCTCCCATTATAAAGAAATTCGTCTTTGATTTTTCTAATGGGTACAGAAAACAATGTGAAATTGGACTTTGAGCTTCATGCCATTACAGCCTCGCTTTCACGCTGGGCGCCACAGGGTGAGAAAAATGTGCAGCCTGACAGGGACTCAAACCAGGGAACCTCCAAATACTGTTCAGACTGAGCTATCCAGCCTTTTACACATATTCTTACCTAAATAATCAGTTCTGACCATGACATTAACAGATTAAGTTGAATAACTAGGGAGTTGACTTTGGGCCATCTTGACAAATCATGTCGTGGAGCTTCATTTCACATTGCAGAATTATCACCATACATGTTTACAATTTTAAAAAAACACATTATTTTGCGTTAAATGATATTTCTCAAGTTCTGAACAACTTGTGTTAATATCCGAAAAATGATATATACGAATTACACTACACTTGCAATTGTAAACTTCAATATTTATTCTTAAAAAGGAAGTTTCCTTGAAAATTTGTAAAAAGAAATTTTTCATAAAATCAAAGTAACATATTTTGACAATGTTTAACCAACTGACACTGTATTCACTTTCGTATCAGGCTCAGAATTTACATCGGAATCGCTGTCAGTGCCGTAATCTGCAACTAATGAAGACATTTTCTGGAAATCAATGGAGCAGAAAATTTGTAACAGAACATTTGATTGGTGCATCTAGCCGGCAACCACTTGCTACACGTTTTAATGTTTAATTTAAGAAAGAAACAAATGTACAATTATTTACTTCAGAGTAATGATTGGTAAAGCTACCTAATATATTTCTAAACGTTTTAAATCATTAGTTCAAAAATTAGAACATTAAATTGTTGAAATTTACTGATCATTCTTCGATCAGCTGACGGAAGTAGGCGGCGCGAAAATGACATCATCAGTGTCGAAAGGATTTTTCGGAATCAATCTGTATACAAAATTTAATTTGTAATAGTTTTGGCCACATATTATGTATATCATCATGGCTTGTACTTATCTTAAAATATTTATAACTGGGAATTATCAAAATATGTCAATTGTGTGTTATTAAAACCAAAATACGTTTAACTTTTCCACTTGTCTGTTCGGTATTTATTTTCCCATCCTTTCCGTCTTTGACAACTGGCTCAGTTTGACAGCTCATTCAGGAGGAAGATGTCTGGAAAACTCAGACAAAAAACGTCTGCAAATGCAGCCGATTCTACAACTCAAAGTATAAATGAGAAGATTTTGAGGGAGTGTCATAGTTTATATACAGATCCGGATAGTGGTAAGTACTTTTAAGGACTAGTATTTATATAAATGGCTGTTTGAAACCTTTCTCCTTACGCAATATAGAAATCTAGAGAAGAAACCTGTCAAATTTTTTGATGACTTAGCGATCTTAGAAATTTTTGGGCTGGGTTGAAAGTCAATTGATATATACATTTGTTATTTTTTCACCCATTTTAATTATTTTATTTGACTCTCTTTTGCCAATTATAAAACATTGTTGATTTTGCTTTGCTTTGGTGACCGGAGAAAGACCCAGTATGATCTAAAAATAACCCGTCTGCTCGTGTGTATTACACCAGTGAACAGCTGATTGGAGGTCAAGAGTTTTACATTCCAGTAATATTTAAGAACATGTGTGCTTTATTGGAATGCAAGTATCTAGAAAATGTAATATATTTTTATTTCTCATGGGTTATGACATCCATACACTTTTATGTAAGATTTAAGTTACTGTAGCTAAGCTGATTTTATAGTCTTACAAAAGTGTCCCAGTTTTTGGACTTTCACTTTGTGTATTCAACTGGAATGTACTGAATCACGATGCACTTACTTAACTGCAGTACATACAAAAGGATTGTATTGTGGTTGACAGGATCACTTGAGGTTAAGATCAAGCATAGTCAATAAAAAATGGCTATGGTTATATAATAACATATTTCATCATCAACTGTTGAAATCAAAATTACTGTCTGCATGTTAGCTAATGATTATTTTTTTAAAGGACTGTTGTTTTATATATATATTTTTTTTTAAATGCTGGTGACAGCTATTTTGTTGTTCAAACACCGGTTATTGTGCTTTTTTAGTTATATATGTGTGGTAAAGATGATGATTTGATTACAAGTTAAGAAGTATGCTTTGAATAGTTTGATTTTATGGTCTTATACATGTACATGTACACAGGTGTGACTGTAATTTGAATTTATGTACTGTGAATTTATATACTTCTTGTCGAGCTACAGTGTGTATGTAACCTCATTCAATCATAATTCATAAATTCAAACTTTTGCTTTTGAATCACAAGCTGTTTTAAACCAGATGCATTTTTACCAGAGTTACTTAATTTCGATTGAAAGATTATCTTTGTGTTGTCAGAAAAACTTTTTACAGATGCATTTGAAATTACCAAATTTGTTTTCTAAATTAAAGGGAGAAATATTATGACGTACACACAAATAACTTAAGTAATTTGTTGAATAAACTTTTTAAAATCATGGCATTATGGACTTGAAATATAAAGAAATACATAATATTTAAGAGTAAGGCAAAAAAACAACAACAGCAAAATCAAATGAGACTTTAAAGTTGGGCCATTGAAATTAAATTAATACATAAAAACATAATTTACTCAGTAAGTAATTTTAAAGATCTCAATGGTACTAGTTACAGTAGTTAATGGGGAATGATAATGTTAAATGACCATATTTGATAACTGTTGAAATAAATATATGCTGGCTTCATGGAGTAGTGGTCTGTGATTAGCAAATTTCCAGAAATGAAAGGAAATAGTTAACTTCGTTTTAAATCAATAATATAAGTACTAATCTATAATGAATTAGAAAAAAATACATATGTACATGGATATTTGGGCCCAGATCATTGATAAGCATAATAGATGACATGAGATGTTGAATATGCCAGCATCTGATCAATAGCATAAGAATTCCCTTTTTCTTTCAGATTATGACTACAGGGCTCTCTCTCAGACTCTGTTTTTTTTTTGAGAACTGTTTATTCAGGAGGTATCTTTTGCCTCTTTTTTTCCTTTCAGACAATTTTTTGCTGCACATTCACTCACTGACACAATAGTGACAATACTCATGTTGCAGACTTCTCAAATTATGTCGGTCCGACTGACATGTTCGATAAATTTTGATTAGGTCGATTCTTTATTCTGGATCGGTCCAATAATACCAATTGTCCGGCTTTTATCCAAGTCTCACATATAAAATATGGCGTGGCTAAAGGTTCCAAACCTGAGAAAAGATGAAAATCTACGTCTGAGTAGCGTGTAGAACACCAGTAAAAGGATGAAAAGAATAGACCTGAAAGAAAATTTAATGCAAAATGGAAGCAGGACCGTGAATGGTTGGTGTATGACACAGAGGAGGTGAAAATGCACAAATTTTTATGGCGAAATTAAAACTGAAAAGTGTCTTAGAAATTCAAACGCAAGTTTTCCTTACATTTTGTTTAATTTCATTCGGTCTGACAGATTGTGTTTCGGTCTGACAGATTTTCTTGGTATGTCAGACCGAATGTCTGACACTTTTTATGGGGGGAGCATGTAGTCGCTGGGTTGTCCGTCCGTACATCCCTAATTCGTGTCCGGCCCATAACTTCATAATTTGAAGTTGAACTTTACAACTATTTCACAGAAATGATCACTATATTGAGACGACGTGTCACGCGCAACATTTAGGTCGCTACCTTGAAGGTCAAGGTCACAGCATGACATTGCAGCAAAATCTATCTGGCCCATTGATTTGTTATTAGAAGTCGGATTTTACAACTATTTCACAGAAATGATCACCATATTGAGAAGACGTGTCACAAGTAACATTTGGGTTGCTACCTTGTTTGTACACCTTCAACTCTTTCTGTGCCATAACTCTGACACTACAACAGGTATACCTTCTGTGTCCAAAACCTATTCTGGGAGCATCACCCGGTTCAACCGGCTCTTGTTTTTAACTTTTGGGAAGTCTGAATTATTAAAAATTTATTTTACAAAATTTTCAATAGGTTGTTGTTTAGGGCCCTTCTTTTAAAAAATTAGGAAAAGTATATACTTTAATAAGGTCTAAAAATATTGTGGCATATAGTGTAATGCACCTGGTCATCTTCAGTCCTTCTATTATCAATTTCGTGTCTGTCCTGTGTCTTTTGGAGAAGTGATCGGAGGTAATTGAAACTACTTGATTAAATTATTAATTATATAATGACTTGTGAATAATGCAGGTTTGACTTTCCTCTGGTCAAAATTGGCCCTGTCTCTGGAATAACTTGCAGGGTTCTCACTAGGACTTTAAAACATGGAGTCCATGGACTCCCAACCCTGAAAAAGTTGGAGTCCAAAAGCGTGTCGCAATTAATGTGTTTATAGATTAGTCATTCAATGCTCACAATAGCATTGCTGATATTTTGAATCTTCAAAAGACTTCCAAAGTTTTTAGTTATTCAAAAGAAACTCTGAACTACATAGTATAATTATTGTTTTGTTGTTAATATTTATTATGAAATTATCTTATTATAATGCATCAACACATGGAAATAGGTTTTTTTTTTCACTTTTATACCAAATTAAATTTTATTCTGGTTAAATAAGTCCACTCTAAAGACAAAAAGTTTATATTTGTAAAAAAAACGTAAATGTATATAGGCAGCGTTTAGCGGAATGAATAGGAAAATCGTGTACAGCTTCACACAGTGTGTAAGAGATTCATCCGATCGACAATTATTTTAGCAAATATCTTCAAAAGGGGGCAAATTGAAGATCGATATTTAAAGATTTAATGTTGATTAAATATTAAAGGAACATTTCATTCGCATGTTTGGCTTGGAAACCGAGAATTTTTGCGAAATTTTAGGGTTTCTGGCGAACGTGAAATCGCCGATGTTCGGGACCAATTTTCGGATAGAATCTAAATATCAAAGAAAAGCGTATTTTGGTTTGTTGTCCTGGCATTTCGGCACAATATCTTAAATTCTTAATACTCTTATAAAAAGTTTTTGCAAGAATGAAACTAAAGCAAAATTGTGCGTAGAAAATGCCGAAAATATTCGACAATCATTCAAAATTACACTCATTTGTAATTTGAGAAAACAGTCTAAACTTGCGGCGTAAATAGATCTAGTCGATAATTTTATCCTTTTGTCGGTAAAAATTTGCTAATTTCCATCAAAGATATAAAATTATCACCTCGTGTTATATCTGGCAATTACATGTACTATACAGCGCGTGTATACATTAGTCTGATCACTGTTGCGTGATAATGATCGGAAGCGTTATCGCTGATTGGCTAATCGCTTCACGGGTCGATGTGCATGGGCCGCCTACCTATAGACTGACACGCGCTGACGCATTTGTGTTTTTGTGGTTGTAAACAATCGGTAATGTTTATGCGTCCCTGGAGGCAAAATTAAGCGTACGTGGAATCCTTGCTCTGAAATATTTGCGTCCAGCTGTAATAAACATGCGTACCGGGACGCCGAAATAAGCGTCCCCGAGAAACCTGAATTATATAGACTTAATATAGGAAAAGACATATAAGTATTACTGTGTGAAGCCCAGAGCTTAAATACATAATTATGACATGTACCATTGCAAAATGGACCACTACAAAATTATATATAAATCATCAATTAATTACATTTTTCATGTAATTGAAAGTCATGTGTAATGGAACATTTTTAGCTCGACTATTCGAAGAATATGAGAGCTATTGTAGTCGCCCCGGCGTCGGCGTCGGCGTCCGCGTCGGCGTCTGCGTTGGTTAAAGTTTTTTGTAAAGTCAAATATCTCAATTATTACTTGAGATATTCAATTGAAACTTACAATACTTATTTATAGTAACAAGGTACATCAGATTGACAAGTTTGATAACTCTGCCTACAATATTGACAGAATTATGCCCCTTTTTAACTTAGAAATTTTGGTTAAAGTTTTTTGTAAAGTCAAATATCTCAATTATTGCTTGAGATATTCAATTGACACTTACAATACTTATTTATAGTAACAAGGTACATCAGATAGACAAGTTGGATAACTCTGCCTACAATATTGACAGAATTATGCCCCTTTTTAACTTAGAAATTTTGGTTAAAGTTTTTTGTAAAGTCAAATATCTCAATTATTGCTTGAGATATTCAATTTAAACTTACAATACTTATTTATAGTAACAAGGTACATCAGATTGACAAGTGGGATAACTCTGCCTACAATATTGACAGAATTATGCTCCTTTGGAACTTAGAAATTTTTGTTAAAGTTTT